CGTGGATTCCTGCTCATGTTGACCCTCGAGGAGGAGGAAGATCTGCGATGTAAGGGTAAACTTCCCCGAGTCGAAGACGACGGCAGGGAAACCAGTCTTGACCCGTCGACCCGCGAAAAGGATCGCAGAATTTTCCGAATCGACGAGCACGGCAAGATTATGGGCTCGATGGACATCTACAAGTTCGGCTGCGAGCTCGTCCCGGCCATCTTGAGCCGAGATTATTCGATCAGGGCAATGGCAGCTACTGCTTGATGATGGCCTGCAAGGATATGCTGACTCGCAGGTCAGGCACGCTGGGAGTTCCAAAATCTTGTTTTTCTAAAGACCAACTTACTCCGATGACATGATCTTACTACAATTCATTAACTGTAATTTTGATTAAAATTTCCTGGTTTGAGATGGGGCAAAAATCTTTTTGAGTTTTTTAAGAAATAAATAATATGTGAAATACAAAATAAATAACTGTATAAATTGTTTGGAATCACTCTGTTTTATCTATCTCCTTGTTAAACTGTTAAACGATTATGCCCATTCCTAATTATAATAATAAAAAGTAATCTCTGCTGGAAGCGAAACAATTACGTAATACGAGCTGTCGGCTCGTATCCGATGATAAATCGTCGTTATTTAGCTATACACCTTAACCGGGTACGTATGAATGCCTCGATTTATTTTCCATCATATTATTTATTGGCTTTCATAACAATAAAATTTATCGAATAAATTCAATCCTTATAGACTCAATAGCATGTACTTCAAAAATTGACAATAAAATAGAGACAATCAAACTACTTGACCGTTTACTCAAAACTAAGTAATGGAGCAAAGAGTCTGCACTTATCTCGGTACTGCAATTGTCAGTAATTTTTAATTCTGTAACGTACTCTAAAATTTAATTTAATTTATAATTTAAAAGACAAAAGTCTAAATTTGATTCGATTGGGTAAATGGGTGGTTCTTAATGGGTTCAAAATTTGAATCATTCAATGCAGAGGAACATCAACATATTTTGCCATTTATTACTATCTTTATTTTTTTATTTTTATTACTTTTATTTTCATTTTCCCATAATTTTAAATAGAAATTCTTGGATGTGAATGTCTTCCTGAGACACAGGGGCTATGGGACAAGATAGTTTTTTTTAACTAATAATCCAAGTATTATCGAGCGTTTACATTTGTCAAGTCTTCTGATTTTGTATTGGGTCTTGAGGACGATGTCTGAGAACATCTGACGGTCATACTTGTGTAAATACATGTTATTATTTATAAGCTTATCGTAAGCCATAATTTTGACGTTATCGTCCTTTTTATGATGTACTTGAATTTTTAGTTATTGAACAAAAATTAATAATAAAGGATCCCTTAATGTTATCATCAAATAAAGAAAAAAAGGTTGTATTTTTATTTTATATGAGACATACGGGTGGTTTTAGATGCAGTTAAAGTTACAAGTAAATGAATATTTTTATAACAAAATTTGTAAGTTACTATTATTTGTTACGCTTTTGAGTTTATTCCAATTGGGAAACTAGTATGTTTGAACTCGGCTTGTTTTTTTTTACAATTAAAATTTAATATAATTCACCATTTCAAATAATAGTCGGGGAAATAATACACGTACTTCGACTTTTTTTTGCGGTATGAAAAACACAACATTAATACGCGTGTATTTCTTTGTCTCGTAACTGACTATCGGTATATTATGAATTGAAGAAAAAAAATTGAAACATGAAATATAAATAATTTATATCAAACGATAAAACATATAAAAACGTGCTCAGTTAGTACAAAATAATATTTGAGCGACAAAGAGTATTTTAAGCTAATTCAAAATGTTAGCAAAAAATACGGATAATCTTGTGATAAAACTTTATTACTGGACAAGATTTTCCCTTCGATTAAATGGTTTGTGGCCTTTTCAAAAAAAAGAAGTAAAAATTGTATTAAGAACATTTTAAATTTGCTATGCAACATATTTTGGCCTCTGTGTGGTAAGAAATAAAGCATTAATTATTAGCCTGAATCAATAATCATTTTTGTGCCAAAAACAGATGTACGGGAACTATAAGAGGGTGTACAAAGAAACGATGTCGATCGAGTATGAAATTAAGAGCGGATGTGATCTGTTAATGGCGATTGCTGTTATAATGTTGTACACTCTATACTTTACATCCGAACATTACGTCAAAATGCAAAAATTATTACGCTTTGTGTGAGATGAAGTCAGTTTATGTCTTACTAATATTAATGTTCAGTTTCAGCGACTCATGGAGGATAAAGCTGCTTATTACTTAAAAATTACTGACAAGCATGAGAAGCTAATATTCGATCAAGAAAACAATGTCCTTTATCGCATTTCGATATATTTTTCTGTTTTTATCATTTTTCTGAGCATCATTTATGCATCCTTGCCAATATCATTACCATTCACTGTTAATATTTTAATGCCAGGGCGATACAACATTAGCAGGTTTCATGTGATAACGGCAACTTATATAATCAATCATAAAGAGAATTTTCATGTTGTTTTCTTTTGCGATTTATTGATATTTATGTGTGCTGGATTGTTTATAGTAGCAGTGATTTCAAGTATTCTTGGTCAAATTTCTTTTAGCAGATTTCAGTTTTTTCTAATAACGTGAGTTTTTTACTCCACTAGAGCCATTCATTCAATAATATAAAGTATAATCAACTTTTATCATTGACTTTAGTTATAAATTAAACTATCTGAGCGAGATTATTCGAGATAAATATTTTGATCGAAATGAAGAAGTCAATCGATTTATTGAAAACCAAATCCTTCAACTGCATTGTGATTACGCCGAATCACTAAGGTTTATTTTATATTCAACAAATACACGATGAATCTTGAAAAAAACTGTAAATGTAATAATCATGAAATTATAGACAACTACAATTTTTCAATGTATCAGGAGAAAAAATTTTATTCTTGGGATCTGTTGTGATTTTCGGGGGGCTCAGTGTTTCCGGATTATTGGTACAACAACTCTTCCGGGAACTTCCCAGAAGTTTATTCAAATATTTTATCAATTTTTAGATTGTCACGTTGTGGAAAACGAATTTTGTAGCTTGTCTACAAATGGCCACTATATTTCTTATTGTGATTACAGCTTCATTTATGATAACTTTTGTTGGTCAAATAATCATAGATGCAAATGAAAAAGTTTATTATCACTGGTAATTTTTTTTCTTAAATAAAAATGGAAATGATATTATTGAACAAATTTACTAAGAGTAACAAAAACCTTTATACAGTTATAATTGTGGGTGGTATGGTTTTCCAGTTGAAAAAAGAGTTTATATAATTATGATGTTGGCTAGATCAAGAAAATTTACTGGCTTGAAATGTGGACCATTCACACTATTGGAACTAAATTTTGAAAATTTCAGTCTAGTATGAAAGTATAATAATTTCCATTATGAAGTAAATTTAATTATGAATTTTGATTTTTTTCTTTCAGATATTACAAAATGTTATATCATATATAACAGTCATGTTATCTATTCTTTAAGATTCTTTTATTACTTCTAATGTAATGTTTGATATAATAACATTTTCAAATTATCTAAATATCACCGTTAAATTTTTACTGTAAAATGTTTCAAATAAAAGCGCAAATCTGAATTTGAATTGGGAATCTTTTATAGGTATTTATTAATAAAACTACAATTTACGTATTTATATGACCATGAGTCATAAAATCGATGCACTCACATTTATTTTTATTATTTCTTACGGTTTATGCAGTAAGAACAAAACAAGAAGTTACTAAAAAATTCATTATTTCCAATCCAACAATGAATGTACGTAACCCTCGTTCATGAAATTCTCACTATGCATGAAAATTATATTTTATTAGAAGAAAATTAAATTTTTATTCTAAACAATTCTACGACACGCGAAGCGCGCTAAAAAATTTGAGTAAGTTTAAATTGTTGAAAAATGATTTCAATGAAAACAAACGATGAATTATTTGCCAGTTTTTTTCAATTCGATTTCATACATTTTATGTATAAAATATATTTTCAATTCGAAGTGTTCGGTAACTGGCAGTTTTACCATTCGAACTTGGCCTGCATCACGTATCGCGATACGTCACAACGAATTGGGAAATATGACGAGTAATCGCGCTACACTTTAACGAAACTTCTCCTTCGTAAACATGGGCTGCTGTTGCCTCGCAGTGCCCCCTCTCACTTCTTCTCCACACCCGATCATTTGTTGTTGATTGTTATTATATGCGCGTGTGTTTATGTGCGGATGGACTCGTCTCGTGCATGAGAGTACGGCAATGTTTTTACTCGCTCTGATGACGGATCATGAAAGGCAATCTTGTATATGTTGGCGCAGTGCAGAAAATGCTTTCGCGCAGGCCATAGGGGACTCTGCTGTTTGCGAGAGATTTCGCGACTATATGTATAATGTAGGCAAAGGAAAACCTATTCTGCACTCGACTGCGCTGCCCAAATCAGCTGGTTTTGTGTTTCTCCGTTCTCCGAGCGAGCTGCTTTATCGCGCATAAACAGATCCCGCAAAGCAGTAGAGGCAGCAACAGCAGCAGCTCGTAAACGAAAATTTTTTTGATCGCGCAATGCTCGCGTAGGAGCTTTCGTCGATGCTACGAGCAAAACAACGCAAAGATCGCGCGACCTGCGATTTTTACCAATCCGTGCGCTTGAGTGTGCGGGTGCGTTTGTGTCTGCAAGCGCGACTGTGACTTTTACAGTTGTTGCATGCCAGTTAAAGAGCAAACTCCGAACATTGTAGTCTTGTACGACGTAGCAGCTGTTGTTCATGTGTGCGTGAGTGTGATATGAGGAGCAGGAGATAAGATTCGTGCATTGTTCTCTCGTCGATTATTGCAGCTCCAGCACGTCGACGTCATCGTCGTCATCGTCGCTGTTTCTGTGTTTTTTTCTGCTCGCTCTTTCTCTCTCTCCCAGATTATATATCAAACGGAGCATCTCTCAATCATGGCCGATATAAAGAGCCTCGAACATCCAACTTTGAAGGTATAATACATTGAAAGCATTATTGTATGCCTGGCTACGTTTATTCATTTCCTCTCCTATCCTTTGTGTTTTGGACCTCCCCCACTTGGATCGAGCGAATACGTCTGTTTGTACATACATGCGTATGCGTGTGCGTATTGAAAAACAGCGATCCTTAGGGGGAAAGGTTTCGTGCCTTTCGATACAATCTGCTTTGTAAACATACGCAATATATCTCGCGCGCATCGATGTTTTTATATTTTCAAAATCAAGTAGCAAGAAACTTAATAGATTTCGTCATCGAGCTAATTCATATCGCGTCCAGGCATGACGGGAGAAAGATTCGGATGTCGAAATATTTGAATGTTAATGTTCTCTTTGTGAGATTACAATGATAAAAGCTTTTTAAAGACCAAACGATTCATGCGGAACGAGCTTATATGCTTCGTATCGAGGTCTATTTTCATTTTGCACTTTGCGAGTGTCAAATGATATCTCGTATCGGAGAAAATGTTACTTGATACGGAATCGTAAACACTATAACTGACTTAAATTCAAAATAGTAATACTTTAAATTAAACTAATATATAATTATACTTAAATAACTTTAAGATTAACATGAAATGGACGAAAGCCTAATGATGCATTTTTTTCAGGTGCCATATGAATTGTTGAATAAAAAATTTCGTTCAGCTCAGAAAACATTGGATCGTGAGGTGTCTCATGTTCAAAATGCAGCTAATGATTTTGAAAAAAATTGTTTAAGAAATGACGGGGCTGGTGTCCCAAGGAAAGAGATATCAAGACTCTTGGGTGGTGTGGTAGCTAAGCTCCAAGTCCTCAAAAGAAAAGCCCAAGAATCTATTGCTGAAGAATTACAAGCTGGCATGGTTTGCAAAAGACGACTGGACCACTTGAAAGAACACAATAATAATTCTCCAAGTGCGGTCAATCAATGGAGACGTCAAAGATTAGATAGAATGCTTGTTGAATACTTTCTTCGAAAAGGCTATTACAAGACTGCTATAAGATTAGCTGATTCTAGTGATCTGCGGGATCTAACTAATATAGGTAAAAAAGTAACATTTTTAGTTCAAACTTAGCAAAAATTTAGCAGTTCTAACAATTTCACTTACTTACAGATGTTTTTATGGTCTCTCGAGAAGTAGAGAAATCATTAGCTAATCATGAAACAAGCAGATGCTTAAGCTGGTGCCATGATAATCGTTCAAAATTGAGGAAATTGGGCAGTACTATGGAATTTAATTTGCGTGTTCAAGAATTCATAGAGCTTGTTCGAACGGATCGTCGCCTCGACGCCGTTAAACATGCACGAAAATGCTTTGTTAATTACGAAGATTATCAATTGCAAGAAATTCAAGCTTGCATGGGTCAGCTAGCATATCCTGCTGATCCTCATCATAGTCCCTATAAGGATCTGTTAGATGAAAAAAGGTAACTTTTAAATTGAAAGTAAAGTCAATACTGATTTATTTCCAAAGGTCATGATAATCATACAATGTACTTTATTTTTTGCAGATGGGACAGATTAATCGAACAATTTCGTCATGAAAACTACAGACTCTTCCAGTTGGCTAGTCAAAGTGTATTTACGGTAGCTTTACAGGCTGGTTTGTCAGCTCTAAAAACTCCTCAATGCTACAGTGCAAATAAAGAAGGAAAGAATCCTAGTTGCCCTGTTTGCCATGAAACTCTTAATGAACTTGCTACTCCTTTGCCATTTGCCCATTGTTCACAATCCAGATTAGTTTGTAGTATAAGTGGTAAGGCATTAAATGAGTACAACCAACCTATGATGATGCCAAACGGCTATGTCTATGGCGAAAAGGTAATAAATTATTACACTTATCTTATTTTTAAATTTGATTTCAATGTTAAGTACTTTTTTTTCATGCTTTTAGGCTCTGGAGAAAATGGCTCAAGAAAACAATGGTTCAGTTATCTGTCCTAAGACCAAAGAAGTATTCCCCTTCAAAAAAATTGAGAAAGTTTATGTCATGTAAGATTTTGTCTATACCAGATCTTGACGTGGTTTACGAGTGTATTATATACATAAGAAAGTGTATAGACTATATTTATCATCCTTAAATTACTCTAGCATATACGAATTTTTTTGGTTATGTAGATTATTATTAATAAATAACATTTAAAAACTTAATTGTAAAAAATTATCAAGTTAATATAAATATATTTTTCAAAAAAATATTTGTATGATTATTTGAAAAAATACATAATACGTTATTTGTAAGTAATAATTTATTTAACATTATTATTCATTTTTAAATTATAAAAACAATACATAAATCAATGGGTGAGCAATTTACATTCTTGTCAATAGAAATGAATTAATTACGTAGAACAAAATTCATAAAATATTACAATCATCGACAGTTAAATCACGAATAATTTGTTTGACACGTTAATACAAGACATATCCACAGTATATTTTAGAGTATTTAAGTTATCATCAAAACGTGTAATTTTTATGATCAATTTGACGTATAAAAATATTCAATCTATTCTAAACTATATCAATGGTCAATGTTCTTAATTTTTTAGAATCAATCAAATTGAAATTCCATTGTCATTTCTATTATTTTTTTAAATTGAATAATTTTTTATCTTATTGTCGGCATTGCTTATTGTGAAAGATTGTAAAATTACTAAAGTAAGTGTTCATTTTGCGTGAAATTTAAAAATTTTACAGAATTTGAGTTTCTGAATGAATCTGATACACTGACTTTACTCAATGAAAAACTACAAAGTATTATAAATCAAATTTATGCATAAAATATTGGCATAGATCGAGTATATAATTTCTGTTTACCCAATTTTATGTACAACCAAGCCATTTTTACAAGCAGGAAATTAATTCATTCATAATCGGTCAAGGAGCATGATTAAAAATTAATTGTCAAGTATCGTTTTTTGTAAATTATACTTTAAAATTCTAAAATAATTTGAATAAAATTCACTAACAATAATATTAATAGTTTTTGTATTTTTTTCAATAATATATTTATCGATAGCATATAAAACGTAGAAATCATACAATATTAAAAATACTATAGTATATTTCATAAAATTGTTGGAAGCGATTCGCGCAGTATTAATAGTTATTTTTATTCAGGATATTAAAAAAACCCAATAGATAAAAATACAAATTTAAATACGACAGCTTTACATGTTAATAGAAAATGCAAGTATTGAATTTGAAAATATTGTTTAACGCAAAATATTTCAAATTCAAAATAGGTTTACTTTACAATTAAATTTATAATAAATATTATAGATATTAATAATATAAAAGAGAACACTTAGTGGGTTTTGTAAGTCGTAAATATTGTTTAATAACAAAATGAATAACTACGCAACTTAAATACTAAACATTCGATTTTCATGTGATCTTAAAATCACATATTGCGAGATTGCATTATGTATACACGAATATGATAAAATGCGGTAGTTAAGTAATCATCTTACCAATCAGAGAATAAAATTAACGAGATTTCGTGCACTTGTACTTCTATACAATTGCCATCTAATTGCAAAATTTATATAATTGAAAACGATAGTATAAAAATGTATAACAACGTGTACATTTCATATAATATTATTACACTATAAATTCCCTGCTTTAATCGATATCTAGCATTTCTATAATGACAGTCAAGCCCAAATTTTAATTACAATTCATTTAAACAAGGATGAGTGATACATTTCATGCGTATACATTAAAATAGTATACCCATTTTAAACTGATAAAATCTTAACGACCTGCGCTCCACAGTATTTGTCAGTATGAAATAAAGCCAATCGTTTAGAGTTTTGCGCGATCGAGAATCAACATAATTATGAACATTCAATTTTTAACTTAAAAGTATAAAAATTGCAACACATTGATAAGCGCAACATTTATCGCTTACAATAAGCATTAACATTACCATTAGGGCTGAGTTATTTTATTAAAAATTGACTTAAACTAATTTTTTCATTTACACACATTAATCTTATCAAAAGAAAAGAAACAAAGTTCCATATCAGCAGTCCAAAATCCAAACAGAAAGATAAAACATCTTTGGATCAAATATTTTTCAGAAGACGTTTGGTAATTTTGATGATAAGCCAAACAATATACAACAAATTGCTTTGATGAAGCAGATTGATTGTTCACAAACTTACGCTCGTACACATTTATAATCGAAGCTCGGTGATTTTGTTTTTTTCTTTTGATTATTTTGAAAAAAATGTCACTGCCATCTAGCCGAGGAGCCCAGCAATTACGGGCATGGCGAATGAAAAGAGAATTCCGCTAAAGACACCGGTTACCAGGAAGGCAGCGCCAAACATGCCGGCGGTCGACGCGTAACGCGGCTCGACTGTGGTCGAACAGTATGTCATGGCACAGGACGAGAAGTAACCACTGCTCAGGCCCATGAGTGCACCAATGAAGAGGAAAGCCCAATCATTTTCAATGAAAATGAAGGTTCTGTTGTTGGGCATGTAGCGGCATACAAGGAAAAGGGGGATAAATACCACTCGCAGTAAAACTGGAACGATGAGGTACTTCTTACTCGGCTGTAGAAAATTGAAGAAAGATTATTACACATGATAGTAATAGATGAATTAAAATTTAAGAATAGCAGCGAAACTTACCCATTTGTACATGGAAGCGAGAAAACTTCCAATCATAGCCGTGACATTGAAATTCAGGAAACAAAACAGAAGTGTGAAGTAATTCGCTTCACGTGAGTCGACTTCATAATTTGGAGACTGGACTTTCATCATGACAGACGGGAACACCGAGAGCGTAACGAAAAAGATGAACCAAACGTTGAAGCACTGCAGAGCGCATTGCTTGAAGACTTCCCACAACGGAGGACGTCCAGTGGTGAGTTGGTTGGTCTTTCTCTGAGACGCCTCTTTTTCATGCAAGTACTCGTGATAGCGGTAGAATCGGTTGATGGGCAGTGCAAAGTACGTGTCAAAGCAGGCGAGCAGCACAAACAGCGCAGTGATAAAGTAATAAATAGCCGACGTGCGAGGAGATGGCGAGAAGTACGTTGTTAAGAGAATCATAACGGACGTGAAGGTTCCACTGATGTTCTAGAAATTGGACGAACGAAACAATGAAGGTTATTGACATCGATATTTTACAAAATGTTTGAAATGTAAAACAAACATGAGATACTTACCGAACCAAGAACAACACATCCAGTGTATTTACCAGGTAATTTAGCTGCCATACCGAATACGGAGTTTTGATAGATTCCGTTGGAGACTGAAATAAAAATTGATCCATTGCATTATATGTAATCAATTTTTTTATAGTACTTTATGCAACGGGTACGGATATACTTTTTCAGCGAAACGAGGGGTTGCAGCACGAGCCGAAGGCTCGTGCTGTAACGAGTTTCGTTGGAAAAGCATATCCGTATCAGTTGCATACAATATTTTATGGTACAAAAGCCTAAAAGTAGCGGCGAAGTAGCGATTTTTAGGTTAGCGTGCCATAAAAACAAAAAAAAATTGTAAACTTACTGTTCAAAATAACAACAGATCCCATTGTGATCCAGAAGAATATATTAGCCCAAGAAGAGCTATCGATCATTGCTAATACGATCGTGAATACAAATACGACGACTTGAGCGAATATACCATAGACGATACGGGTCGTCAAGTTACCGCTGCAAGTGAAAAAATTTAACGAAAAATTATAACATCGTTTACACAACTCATAGAAACTTAGATGAATTAAAAATCAATACTAACGCTAGAGGTAAAAATAAGTTCAACCAGTTGAACACGACGTTGGGCACTTGGGCGGAGAAAGTCACTGCATTACTAAAATAATCAACATACATTTGTGTCGAATTATCTCCAGTGGATTTTGGTGACAGTTTGTGTTCCTGGAAGTACTGTTAAAAACGAGAGTAAAGATTAAACATTAAATGATTTTGATGGGTATTGATCAATGAAAAAAAATTGTAGATGCAAAACTAACCGAAGGGGCGGAAATAAACATGTTCCACGGCATCAAGGCACCGACACCGTGCAGAATCATGATGAACATCACAATGTTTAATCTGTGAAGTAAGAAAAAAAAGAGAAAATTATTATCCATCATACTAATCTAGGATTGCATTTCTCGTTGAGCTACCTTAATCGGCCGCGAGCACGACATTGTCCGAACGTCTTTGAAACCGATAACGAGGGAATTCAGAGGTGACTTATTTGAATGAACGTAAAAATTCCATACGCATGGCAGGAGAGACGCATTGATTGAATTTAATAAAAAGGGGCGTTTTGATTGGGTTGCGGAATTCGCACTACGACGCGAATCGTGTTTATACAAAAGTCAAGAGATATAGTCGCCTTGCGTCTATATACCGGTTGTTTGTTCAAGATTTTTTTACAGCGCCCCGATAGAAAATGATAATGTACAATCGTCCAAGCGCAATGATACTTTTTCCTCGATCCGAGTCGTCGTCATCATCATCATCGGTGTATTGTAAGCGAAAATTGGAAACGACAAGTTCGTTTCTTTCCGTAATTTCGTTCTCTCCCTCCCCCGCATTATATACTGCACCGAAGGGAAAAGACAAAAAAGTGCACGCGAGCGTGAAATAACGATAGCCAGAAAGAGAGAGAAAGAGACAGGCCGATGATTCTGCTGACGGAGCTGCGCAAAATCGCTGTATCGCGCGCTCGGTGTCTCTTTCCCATAAAGCTGCAGCTGCAGCAGCAGCGGCGAAAAATTCCTCAATTACATCGGCCACCGGCCACGACCGCGCCTGAAGTATTTTTAATATAAGAATGGGAAAACAAAAAAAAAACAAAAACATCAAAAAGGTTGAAAAAATTCAGCGATGCAACATTACCTGTCTCTGGGCGGATTCAGCTCGAGGTTCGCCTGATCCATGGTGACGTTTTTGAAATTCAACTCGTCGTCGGTCTTGCCAGTGCCTTCCCAGCCAGGAGACAGTCGAACTGGTTCTGCACCTATGTATAGACAAGAAAGCAAAAGAATTTGAAATCTCCGTGTCTCGCTCACACACGCCAACACACACATACGGTAGCTTATATAGATATATAGGTATGCACTATACAAGCAAAGGTGTGCGTGTGCACACGATATGATATTTTCCCTCCTCTCTCTCCTTTTCTCGCGCTGCAGCAACTACCCTCGCGGTCGATGCACGCGCGCTGACCAGAAGAAATATTATACATTACGCCGAGGAAATAAGGAGCAGGCACGGCGTAAGTAGTATGTATAATATGTAGCGAGCGAGAGAGAGAGAGAGAGGAAGGCAAGTAAAGCATGCAAAGCAGAAGAGAGAAAAAAAGCAACAATGGTATGCAACGTGTTCGGAGATGATGAAAAATCGCGCGAGACGAACGCGGCGACGACGACGACGAACCTTTTTCTTTTTTGCCGGCCATGCCGTTGTATCCGTTGACTTTCTGGCTCATGATAACTTCCGATGATGCTGTGCAGCAGGCACGTCCTCACACACAAAGTCCCTATTCAATGCGATCACGCGCGCCTTTGATACAAGGTAGTAGTATGCCTACTACTACTCGGCTTGAGATCGAAAACAAGAATGAATCGACGAGTCGAGAGGCTCGTACGCACACGAGACACACACACCCGAGCAGCAGTAGTAGCAGCAGCAGCAGCAGCAGCAGCAACAGCCGACACTCTAATACAACTCCACGAGATAGTAAATACCATTAAGTTGTAAAGACAACGAGGGCTATTACCATAAACCAGACACGGGAAACTAATTACACGGCGTTTCAAAATATTTGATTAATTGTGTTACACGATACTCTGGCCACACCTCCCAAAATCGTAATAATTAACATGTGATGAGTCGCTACTTAGTATGTGCATCGACGACACTACTACCACGTGCTTGCTCGGGGCTCTCGTTCGTGCCGTACCGACTACTATTCGATTATAAAGTGAGAAGAAAAAATTGAAACAGTAGGAGGATAGGATTTCTCGATAAGATCGGTCATCAGATTAAATAACTTGCTCGCGTTAGCTTCGTTTGCTCGTATTTATTATTTGTTTGATCCGGCCTCGATTAAACATTGAAAAGCGTATCCGATCAAATTTTCAGCCTACGGTGTTAAGTTCGACGTTTTCGGCCGAGATGCGGAGACGAAGGCAATTGGTATTTAATGGTTCGCGACATTATCAATCGTCCAAAACGTTATCGACCAAGTAAATTTGTCCAAGTATGAGAAAAAAGCTTAATGAAACATAATAATCGTACACATATTTACTCCAACTTGTGTACAATTCATAAGCACTCGCCTACGCGTCGTTATCTCGGAAATTAATAACACAGATAGCTGTATAGATTTGATATTTCAACGTTAGATTTGTGTGTAGTTGGCTACCGGCCACTGTCTCTGCACAGGCTGAAATGCACTCACGCGAAGCGCTAGAGTGAAAAATCGCTTAGGTAGCACTTATAAATCGTTGATGTGTCGAGATCAACCGCGCGTGCACGTGGCGATTCGTATACGAAGCGACATTTTTCAAATGATTTTTTCCAACTCTATCGCGTGTAAAAAGATGAAAGGAAAAAAAATGTAGAAGCGATGAAAATTACGTGGCGATCTATATTAATGAGATTATTATTGCGAGTATAGCTGTGAAGATTTTATAAAGTTAAAATTAATGTCATTATCCCCTCAAGCCTGGGCGAGAAGTGAGCGAGAGAGCCATCTAAATTAGGGGCGCTCTTACGTCAGAGTAGACGGTATAAACGAGCACGTGCTGCAAGCGTATCTGAAAATACTGATGTCTATTTAAAGAATCATCAGTCTCTCGCGAGTGATAAGGGACGAATTCATATAGTCCAACGCGTGCACGGTACATCGCGTTATAACCATCTACTCTCGCAAAAGCTCGAAATAGGTTTGCAGTTTATCTGGCGCTTTTTTAGTATCGCTTTTGAAGAGTAAAAAGTAAACTAGTTACCGTACTCATCCTCTGAGTTAAAAGTATTGTAGCGCAAGTTTACTTGCTTCTCTGAAAAAACAGAATATAGACAAGTGATTGAATTAAATCATGAGCCTTCTTGCTTCGCTTTTTTTTCTTTTATGAGTAATGTTTTTTTTAGAGACTTTGACATTCCTCGATAGGCCGCCGGCCACCGCCACGTGGTCCAAGTCGACCAAGTCCACATGTAGTATAAAAATTAGTCTAAGAAGCCATTGATTAGAAAATTCGCAAGAGCAAAATCAGTTTGCAAGTTAGCCACGCCTTTTTTCGAGTATTTGTGAGTATAATGTGTTAGTTTATTATTTTCCGCCGGAGAATTAAACAAGTCCCTTATCGAAAGATATTCCGCCGAAATGATTATCTGCCCCTCTTATCTGCGGGCCACGATTCTCAGTACTTGTCGAATTCTCAATTACAACTATATATCTACGCGATCCTCGATAGAGCATATTTCTAATGATCGTTGAATCATCAATCGTAGAACGAGTCGTCGTCGTCGTCGACGTCTCTTGCTCGTCTTTATAGAATTGAGAACGAAAAAAAATGTCGCATGCCGCAATTAAGCTCTCCGGCGCTCGATCTGGATCTCTTTCTCACTGCTGCCTCCCTCGCAATTAAATATCAAACGGCGTTCGCCCGAGGCCGTTTTTATTATACATGTGCAACGGTCCGAAAAACTGATTAGTCATCATCTTGGCCGCAAGAAATGCCTCACAACAATGCTGCTCAATTGACAAATATCGCTTGACGCGCGCGCTCGCGATTCTACTCTCTCGGCAGCTACTCAGAGCGTGAGGAGCTTTTTCCGAGCGAGTCAAAGGTTCTCACGTTACAAATCGCTTGCGCGCTCGGAGAGATTATTGTGCATTTATATGGTGCATAAACACGTAAATAATCGCGCGATACACGCTGTGTTGCACAAGCGGAGGAGCAAGAAAAAAAAAAGAATTTGCACTCGTTATCGTTCGTACAGTAAAACGATGCCGTTTTATTCGAGCGACGAAAATCACTTCTACAAGTTGTAAATTAAGTATGTGATGTCGGATCTCGCACGAGGCACACAATGAAAACAAGAGCACAGCCGCAAAGAGATAAGAGGAGACGCGATACAATTGACAGATACATATATGTATTGTATGTACACGCCTGCGGCTTGGAAAAATATTTTCCGTTTCGATTTCTTTTTATATAAACGTCATGTTGAGTTTTGCGTTAAATGACAATGACTATATTTTGATATTCTTCATTGGAAGTACTCTGACATTTTATTTCAAGAAGTATGAATAACTTGGAGATGAGTGGAGTAGAAAGTTTAAAAGAATTAGTAGAAGTAGGCATTACAGTATAGTTCATACAAAGAAAAAAGGATATATAATACAGTTAGCTTCAATGGTTAAGTGCACAAGCTGGAAGTGCATCACAAGTAGGGCATAAAAATTATAGACTGTGTAGATGTATATAGTCTATACGTATCATACAAGCTACAATAGAGGGGGGTTGTACTCTTGCTACTCGTGGATGCTGCTTCAGCAACCAAAGTAAAGAGAGAAATAAAGATAGGGTACGGCGAACTCTTAAAAGATTATTTGAATATCAGTAAATGGCTTTAATTTGAAGAATAGCATAAAAACATGAATAAAATTAAAAAATGAACACAATCAATTTATAGAGTAATAAAAAAATATCATTTTCATTCATCAATTGAGGGAAAATTGTTCATAACTCTTATTCAATTATATAATTACAATTTTTTAACTCAATTAACATGAGCATGATATAGCAAAAACAAAAAATGAAACCAATTTGATGTACTCAAGCGCTTATCAAATCTATTACAATTATCTGCTGAAAGCAAAGCAATTATTGGTTAAAAGATCTGCATCACAAAAAATACTTGAGATTGAAATTCTCATTTAAAACGTTCATTCCAATCACTACTATAATTGTTTCACAAAAAATTTTTAAAAAGTATAATAGGATTTTACTTTAATTAAAGCATAAACGAATTGGTGTTTAAAAGCACAGAATGATTAAAAAAGCTAAAAGCAGAAAGCGAACAACAGAAATAGTGCAGTTTGATATACAAGCATAGGTCAGTGCCCTTATCTAGAGCAAATAAACAAACTCCGGCCATGTGGGGAGAGACATCGGGCAGAGCATGCAAGTAATTCAACAGTTATAACAAATTTTTTTTGTTTCTTACCCTTTGGGACGATCCTCGTTCCGTTCGAATCCTTCAGCAACGTTTGCTCCTCTGGCCCAAGGCCGAATTCCTTTTTCGTGTAACTGCCTGCCATTTTTTACTTTGTACTTTTACCGTTCCAACGAAGGAAAAAAAATAAACTACCAAATGATCACAATGGCACCCCCCAAAAAAAAGGTTTAACGAAGTCTGTATAACCTTCGAGTTATACTTATGTAATGTAATTATTTTCCTGCGCGTGTAACGAATGCACACGGCCGAGAGTCACCTCCTTCACTGGCAACACTACGAGTAAAAAAAAATGTTTCTGCACTGTTTTCAAAACAACATTATCGATGCGACAGTCGCTTGCGAAACTGTGCACAATTATTGTGTACAACGATGAGGTTAGGCACTCGAAACGGGTGCGAGACGCTCGCGGATTGTCGTCCACAATCGCACTGGTGGGCCGACGATCGCTCGATGTGTAAAAATGCGGTTTATTGGTTAGAAAGTAAAATGCTTCAGCAGCAGCACAGCAGCTTATAGTACCGTGAGTCTGCGAGTCGTGGTGGTCGCCGGCGATATGTAAGTGTGACACGCTCGTTTGTGTGCGTGAGTGTGTGGCGTACTTACTTTACTTGCTACTCACACACGCTTACACGCCCTCGACAAGTCGTTCTATATATAAAGCGAGAATAAATTGATTCGTTCGTTTACTCCCTCCTTTTAAAACGGAAAGGCTATAACATACAGATTTTGGTCTGTTGCGTTGCGCAAACGCTGCCTGACTTCCTCGAGAGCATCTCTATATATAGTTAAAAATGCATGCCGTTTTGCAACGCAGTGCGAGGACGCGTAAGCGAAGCTGCCAACTCCGAAAGAATACAATCAGTTGAACTTATGGACTCATCCTTCGTAAATATTCGGGTTCGATTTTTCTACGTTGGCAGCCTCGTTTACGCATCCTCGCACTGCGGACTGCAAGTTGCACGCATGTGTAAAGCAGCCCTCAGGGACGTGCGGCGGCTATTTGAATGCATGATGCACTTCGTCCGAGATGTCTCTCCCACTTCGCTTACGTACATAGATTACATCGAGATTGATTTTACATAGATGCAACCGGTGCTGCAATTGGCTTATACGCATGTGAACAGCAAACGTTTGCTTACTCGTTATGTTCTGCGCGCCTATCCTAGAATTAATAGAATTGATAGAATATAGAATTGGTCTTCATTTAACGCCGACAATGTCGTACACAAACGTCTCTTGATGCCACATAATGAATCATTCTGAAAGAATGAAGCACTTACTATTAAAAATTTAATAAAAGCAATTTAATCAGTGTGAGTTTTTCACTTGCTCCAGATTTTAATCGATTTAATTATCTCACAGTAATTACAAACGAAAAATGAGTTTTTAATTGTAGTCTCTAAATACATGCGAATTTCATCGAGAATCCGAAATGAATCGATTTAATCGTCGATAAAATTTATTATCAGTTCAAAAAAACATAGGGACTAATAATTTAAAATTTATTTTAATGTTAATTTATTTATTTTTTTTTTTTAACGTCAAAATAAATATCTCATTTACAATTCTATTAAAAATTATTTTAAAAAGTAGATGAAAGTTCACCAGGTTTCTACCTGATACTTCCAAGATTTTTCTAAATTTCTAATATAGTTTTCAGCTTCTTCGTCATTCATTCCTCCACAATCCTTTGCAACATTTACAAATTCCTCCCTTACAGCATTGGGCATATTTTTACAACTGCCTGCAAGGTAGATATTACCATCTTTTTGTAAGAAATCCCAGCATAACTGCTTTTGTTGTTTGATAATGTGTTGAACGTATCTGAAAAATATAAAGTTATATAATCAATGAACAAGTAATTTTATGCTGATGAGTTCATTCAAAATCAGAATAGATTATTAAAAATTCAATAAATTTAAAACTTACATTTTATCAGGTTGATCTCTAGAGAAGGCACAAAATAGTTTTAATTTGTGTTTTTCTACTAAAATTTCAAAATCTTCTTTGCAATGATAATCATGTTTTTCGTTTCTACAGCCAAAGAATAAAAGGCATGAACTCAAATCACCGTCCACGGCAGCTTTGTCAAGTAATAATGATCTGAATGGAGATATGCCAGTTCCAGGTCCTACAATGATCATCGGTTTAGTGTAGTCAAATTTGAAGGTCCCTTTTACAGTCCAAAATACAACTTCATCCTCTGGCTTTAAAGTGGCCAGCCAGGTCGAGCATAATCCAAATCTAGGTTCTACCAATTTCGTTTTGTAAGTAGTCACTGCTACCAATAAATGTAATTCATTTTTAGTATGTTTTAAACTTGATGCTATGCTATATGCTCGTGGTTTAATAGGGGTCATAATTTCAAATAGCAATTTCAGATTCAACTTGGCTGTTGTGTGAGGAAAATCGTTTAAAACTTCGATTATATTTCTTCTGGGTCTATTTATATAATTATATAACTCTTCTTGACCTTCTGCAGTTGTGAATTCTAATAATTTTTCCTTTTCTAACTCATTTTCACTTATCATGGAAAGAGTGTGCAAGGCCGATCGCTTTGGTTTAACATTCAAATCCCAATACTGCTGAGCGATTTGTTTCAAACTCAATTTTTGCTGTAGAACTAAGGGCACTTTTATTTCTTTTTCTTCAATATGCAAGACAACATCTTGATCTATGTCGACACCATTATTTTTTAAAACTTTGAAGAATTTATTTACTTGTTCATCAGAATTTTTTGCTTTTATGTACAAAACATCACCGGGGGAATAGTTAATTTCAGGAACTTTAAATTTTATCAGTCTTACATCTTGAAAATGATTAGGAGTGGTTGTCCTTATATTTTCGATAACTTGACTAGGAATGAGTAATTTATTTGTTTGTGCTTCATAGAGATAAATATCCTTTTTTGTATCGGTTAAAATTTTCTCATTTTCTAAAATATTGATGTTAAATTTTTGAATGATTTCATTTTCTCCTATTATATTTTCTTTTGGAATACCATATCGCTGAGCTATTTCATTGAAAACTCCATCTAACCAAGTACCAAATACGGCATCAATACCTAAATCATGTTGATCGTCAGCCAAGCCAATTGGAACAATTTCTGTAGCACCAAGTTGTCCCAATCGTTTGTTTAATTTCTTAGCAGCAAAATTAAATTTTTCAAAAGAACTATCTCCAAGTCCCAATACTGAATATTTTAAATGACTTAATAGATTATTTGGAAGACTTTTACGTAGCAAAAATCTCCAAAAATTCTTCATATTCATTGGCATATCTCCTTGTCCAGCAGTAGAGACAACAGCCAATAGGACGTTGTCATTTTCAAGCCTTCCAATATTGTAATCATCCATGGCATCAACAGTGCTCTTTAAACCATATCTGGAATACATTTTTCAATAATAAATCATTTGGAATATTAGTTAGAACAATTTTTAAATTAGAATAAAGTCATTTTATATGAATATTTTAATAAGGTTTGAGAAAATGCAGTCAGAGCGCAAGATTAAATAAACTTTTCTAGTTTGCTACTGTCTCGTGAGGTTAGTTGGTGAATTTAAACAATGACAGTTAAACCAAGTCATGTATATATAAACAAACTAAAAAATGTAACCTTTTGGAACGCTTCCAAATCTGCTCAGCAATGTCTTGTGCAGTTCCGGTCTCACTGCCATACAGAATAGTAATGTTTGGTCTCATCATCTTGAAAAATTAAAAATTACTGAATAATTTCTTGATATTTATTCCTTACTCCAATGACAATTGGGCCTTGACTGACAAAGATTACTGAGTGCAGTGTATCAGTACCAACATCCTCAATTCATCTCTGAGTATACCTGTGAGATAACGATATTAAAAATGTGAGTGTAATTGTAAGCAGTTTAGATAAAGTACAGTAAATAATCTTAAAATACACTTGAAAGTGTAACAAGATAAAACAGATGTTTTACTTTAGTAATGTAGATTCATTGTTTGAAAATATATTTATTAGATATTATTTGAAAACATTTTTAATCAAAGATCAGCAATAAATAGTCATCAGATAAATCAACATTATCATTGTAAATTGTTAATTGAAACCAAAAGTAAGCAACACATATTTCATTTACGTATGTCAAGTGTCAAGGGTAAAAGTCTATCGGCTCGTTTATTTGGCCGTTGGCCTGAGATTTATTCATGTATCTATCACGAATGTAATACATAATATATAAAAGATAGAATTTGATATTATTTTTAAAGATAAATTATTTGTTAGACTGTCATGATCACGGTTAACCTGTCTTGATAATAAATTTATCATCAATTACAATATTTACACACACCCGTCTGGATTTGATCACGTTTATTATTTTTCAGTCAACGAAATTTCGTCTGCTTTTTCTTCTTTTATCAATGTTCAGTCTGTATGACACGAGGGTCTTAGAATCTCGAAAAAACGAACCGGTAATTTTCGTCTGCTAGGTATTTTACGAATTCGGAATGTGTAGGGGACACGTCAATGGTAAATTAAAACTCTCAGGTTTGTGAGAACAAAATTTTGCTAACAATAGAATTTTTATTTACAATAATTTTTTCATCGTAATTCGAAAAATAATCCAATCATTTATATTAATTTATATTAAAAGTTCAAAAAGTTTAAGTTCAGTGGTTTTCAGTTCAAAAATTGTTGCGAGATTGATGGAACGAGCATCGGGGACATACAGATATAATTAAAAAATCGCAAGGTTTGTCGCGCAACGCATGATTTGTTTTTTATCTAAAAATACAATTCGATTCGAACACGGAAATCGATCCAACAAACGTGTCGACGGTTTCGATCGCCGGTCACGTGCACGAACGATGGCAAAATAAAGGTACCGCTCTCGGAGTCATTTAATAATTATATTATAAAATAAAGTCGCGATAACACAACTTGAGGTAAAAATTTCGAAAATCCTGTTCAAATACGCTGCTATCTGTATACTTTCAACGTTATCAACCTCGTTCGATAAAAAGAATCTTCTACGTTTCGCCTGTCAGTTGGCCGCCGCTTTCTGCTTGCACACATGACGCGAGCAACGCGTGCGCGCAAAATTTCATCCCCTCCACCGCCTCTGTTGCGGTTTCGTCCGATATACACTACATATATACAGATATATGCAATGCAATATAGTTGCAGTGGCAGCAGCAGCAGCAGCTTTCGGTGAAATTTTTTCTCCTCCATGCCTCTGTACAACCTTTCGCGCGCAGCCATCATCGCAGTGTGTGCAGTGCAGTGCTGCGGGCCTGCAGATTCTCTGCAGCGGAGAGAATAGCGAAGTCGTCGTCGTCGTCGTCGTCGTCGTCGTCGTAGTTGTAGTGCCGTGTTTTATATTTAGGAATTATAATATATATAAAAAGTGGCTGCTCTGTCTGTCGTGCACACGCGAATCTTTGCTATGTGCGCGTAATACGAACAAATATACTATATATTATAAATAACATTTTACGCATTATCGAATGCTCTGTGCTGCTGCTGCGAGTGTGTTCGTGAGTGTCATGTTTGTGTGTGTGTCGCGCGTGTGTCGTCGAGTCGTCGCTAATGTTGTATCCCAGAAACAGGCTCTCGCACGCTGAGAGCTAGAGCTTCTGCTGTTGCTGGTTCTGCTCATGAGCAAACATTGCGCACTCGGACTTTCGCGCTCGATGCCCGTATCCAGGTGCAGAACGAAAGTGCATACGAACAATTATATATTTAGGTGAAGAAGGAAAGAAAGTCCGATTAATAGAGAGAGAAGGAAAAAAAACGAAGCAGTAATGAGCTAACAAGGACGGTAGCTTATTATTGTTGACGGCGCGCACGCACACGATCGACGACGACGATGATGCTGCTGCTGCCGCGAATGCTGCTACTGCTCATGCTGACAGAGATGCCCGTGTCGAGCCATCAATACCAAAGCACGAGCCATTATCGACACTGCGGCTCGTAGTAATCGCGACGTTTTTATTTTTTTTTTCTTATGCATAACTCTGTCCTACGTTTAACACATAATAATAATTCAACACATAAATAAATCGATTCGTGAGTCAAGAAGTAAGACATCTACGCTACGCTGCTCCGATTTTTTTGTAAAATCGTATACAACACGAGAGTCAATACGCCGTTCGGACAACACAATAACGTGTACGTATATCACTAATATAGCTGCTACATACGTGTGTATGCGAGTGCACGGCTGCATGTATGCAAGTGTGCGTGTGTGTGTGAGTGCATCGTGCACGATATAGGTATATAATCGCAATAGCGTATAGCATAAGAATTGTGCTCTCGAGCACACAAGCAGAGGAGAGAAGAGTGCAAAATGTATATGTACAGTTGTCAGCAGTGAGCATGTAACGTGCGAGTGTTGTTGCTGTAAATACTCAGCGACGCTATAGACTTATGTGTGTGTTTGTGTGTTCGTAGATGTGTGTCCGTGTACATGCAGAGTAGGAGAGTTTCGCGAGGTGCTTATTGTACACACACAGTGCCACTAAAAGTCATTAAACCAAATAGAAACATCATAACATTGCTGCCATACCTATCGAGGCACGAGTATCACCTCGCCTGCTGCTACTTCGTTATACTCGAAGCGCGAGGCTCTTCGTGCATAAGGAAAACGCGTAAAAATATAGTGAGTTTTTAATTGTGCATCGCTTATAAATCACTCTGCTATCGTACGGGATCTCTCTTTTATGTATATAATAACACGTAAATACGCGTCTGCCAAGCTACCATCCAAGATTGTGCATGTGTGTGTGCGTGTGTGTGCGTGTACGAGCGTGTCAGTGAGTGTGCTTCGAGTTTGCGATCGTGTGCATGTGTGTGCGTGCAAATTTGAGGTGGGAGGCACTGTATGTCTCTTCTCTCCTGTGCCTGTCTCTGCTACTCGGTTCGAGTCAACCGTGCCTGTGTTGTGCTTCATGCCTATAAGCGCACCACGAGCGATACCTCTATATATGTGCATGCACAACACGCGATATAACATCGAGTCTATAAGGACTGCGCGACTTTTCTCTTATATGTTGTGGCGTACCTATATAACGTAGCGATGCACAGTTGTGGACATGTGCATATAATATACCTGTATACCTCGAAGAATCGTTCGAGCGCGGATGACAACCGTTTCGTGCCGCGACAATAGGTACAATATATAGGCGCGCGAAACGTTTACTGTTTGTTTTTCAAAATGAGAGGGCCCCCCTCGATGACGTCGTCGCGAGAGAGAGAGAGAGAGAGATGCTGTGTGCTCATTGCGTTAACTTCAACACATTATATAGGTAGGCACACCGAGGCACGCCGTTGCTTTGTAATAACGGCGCGCGGACCATTGTGATGTTGCTATCGTCGTATTTTGACGATGCGAGCTCGCGCGAGTATTATTACAGCGTGTGTATGTATCGGTGAATCAATGACTCGACTCGAGGATTGGTAATTTAAGTAACTGGGTTATGCACATACACGTTCGGCCTTTGATGATGATCAGCACCTCGTTCGTTATTGTAATTGAATTCATCTCGCGAGTCTATGATCATTAACGCGCTTTGGATTTATATGCTACTACGCTCTCGCTCCGCATTGAATACACAAGTCGTCTATATATATATATAGGTAAATCGTCCGGATATTCCGCGTACTTGAGTAAATGGGGTGCGCGAATTTATATTGAAAGACCGCAGATGCTATTTCCAATTACCCACGGATAATGACAATCGATGTCAAGTCCTGCACTTGGATTCTCATGCTTCATTTCATTTCGTTTCCAGTGACTTGTCAAGGATATAGCTGTACACCACTCTTGCCTTGCAATACCAATATTCTCAAAAGCAAGGACTTTTTGCCCTGTTCAGTCTCACCTTGTATGTTGTTGCCAATCTTTATGGATTCCTGTGCTTTGATTTTTACACCAGGTACATTGACCTTATTCATGAATTTTATTACAAGGGCTCTATTGTAGTAAAAATTTAATTTACTTTTTTTTGCTTTCTAACTAAAGTTAATTGTTTAAAAAGTAATATCTATAATCATATTTTGTTTTGCAGATATCATTGCTGATGACCTCTATAACATATGTAATTAATTTCATCATGATATTCATCCATCCAGCTACTGTCCCATGATGCTAGTTTCATTATATAATCATACATTTGAGATCAAAGCACTACCAGTAGTAAAACTTTGCTCAAAGTATTCAAGCTACAGACCAAGCCAAAAACTCACAGAGTCAAAAGGCAAAACATAAAATAAATAATTTTGATACAGTGGAGAGAGATACAAGAAGACGTTACCTTTATAATCTAAAAGTTGTTTTGGAATTTCTGGAACAATTTGAAGGTATATAAATTGAAGAAATTTTTTTTTTTAATTTGAGTTTCTATAACTCATTTTCAATTTTAATCAACAGATTATAGAGATAAAAGTAGCTTGCAAGCAAAAACATCTTTAAAAAAATGAGTAATAACCATGGTGAGGATGCAGAGTCAAAGTGGACCTGTGAATACTGTACATATAAAAACTATCCTTCATCAATGAAATGCACCATGTGCAGGGGTGTCAAACCTTTATTTGGAGAAGACATTTACCGGCTCAGGGAACCAAGTCCACAACGCTGTGGTTCTAATGCAGCTTCTGGTCCAGTCATAACACTACCAGAAACTGAATCCTATAATTTAGGTAATTTCACATTTTAAAATACTTTTAAATACCTTTAAATAATTGCTTTAAATTACACATCAATAACAATAGCTCAAAAATTTGATTATAAAAGCACGCACATTTGTGAGTTTCACTTCAAGATTCTTGATAACTTACTATTAGAGAAAGTAAAAAAAGGCAATAAAATCGAACTAAATTGCCCGTGAAAGTATGCGCTCATCTGGAGAATGTTACCTATGTACAAATACTAGACTTGCATCATTAGATACACTCACTATACGCTTTCCGACGTTTTTTATTCTTTTTTTTTTTTCCTTTTTGTTAATGCGCTGTACTTTCATTTTTAGTCGATGTTCCACGCAAACAAACGAGACTTTTTAAATTTAAATAAAACACGTATTGATAACAAATTTTCTTTATCCAGGTCATGAAAACTACAGCCAGAACGTTCCTTCAGCTGGTAAATGGTATTGCGAGGTATGCACATATTTAAATTATCAAAACACAACGCGTTGCGTTCAATGCTCCGAGTCTCGACCGCAAATGACTCCAAAACACAATCGGCAATCGACTGCGTCACATCTGCACGAGTCTTTAGAGCCATTGAGGCTCGGAGATCCACCTCCGCAGCCGAATTCAGTAATTCATCGTTATTATCAAATATGATTATCGTTAACTTGACAATGATGGCACGCTTCTTTTTCAGGCTAACACAAGCCCAAAAAATCAAAATAATCAGCAACAGCAGCTCAACCCAGAAGGGCAATTGGTAGAGAAATGGTCTTGCTCAGAGTGTACGTACGAAAATTGGCCTAGGTCAACAAAATGTATTATGTGTGGTCATCAGCGAGAACGTCACAATGTGCAGTCGCAACAACAAGAGCGAAATAACGCGAGCAATCTTATTCTGCCGAGTCCCGAATATCACGAAGTACGGGGCTTGCCCTCGCCACCACATACGCCTTACATTCATCAAGCCCAAAAGGACGAAAATGCTAGTGCAAGGCGGTAAGTACTTCTTGTCGACGAATGAAATTTAAGAAGAATCTTGAATGGACTTGAAATATTGTTTTATCAGGAGTTCGTTGCGATCCGATAGTCGTAACGAACTTATTCCACAGTCACCGAACAATTACGATCACGAACGCAGGCTGAAGCAAATGAAAAAACACATCGACTGGTGCTGGTTAAACGCGTGTTTGGGAGTCGTCGACGACGACAGTACACCGGTGGTAACTTACTTGGCCAGCGGGGGAGATCCGAGGCGTTCATTAACGCATTCCGAGGTTTTGCTACTCAATCGAAGCAGTGCTTTTGATGTGGGACACACACTAGTTCATTTAGCTATTAGGTAAGCCTAAGCAGGACACGAAAAACGCATCGATCGTCTATCCCCAAAAATATTTTCGCGACGCGCGAGATACATGCTGAATTTATATTTGTATAAAATGGCGATCGCGAGTATCTGTTTCTACGGTCGAGCGAAAGTGCAAGAAGCATGTGTGCGCCGAGCGTCAAGGTTTCTCACGAATATTGCAACGGTTAGATCTCTGGCGTCTCTCCAGTTAACGAAGCATTGACCTACAAAATCCCCAAGACGAGCTTTTAAATGACTTATTGCCGCGAAACGAATATGTTTTTGGATTAGCGGCTATTATATGCAAAAATACATAGAATAAATTTATAATTATGCATTATTTTTCTTCTAGATTTAAGAGAGAAGATATTTTAGCAACACTCTTAGCACAAATCGAAAGCTCCGGTACCGGACCCAAACGAGTTCCAAGTTACGTCGCTCCCGATCTAGCTGCTCAGATCAGAAGACACGTCACGAACAGTTTACGAATCAGAAAAGGACCATTTCAGTGCTATTTTGTAACTGAGATGCCAACTTTTGCCCTTCCTGCTGAGGTTAGTGTGAATCGAGTACATCTTTTACTAAGCTTTATGTTTTACTTGATTTCGAGAATAACTTCATCTTTTCATTAGATCGAAGAACTTCCTGCCGTGGTTCAAGAGCAATTGCTAGAAGAGCTACTGGACCGCGAAGCGCAGAACCAACTCGAAGGCGCAGGCAATGAGCCCGCGGCTTTGAACTGGTCATTAGAAATAACGGAACGTCTTGGTAGCCGGTTGCACGCACTCTGGAATCGCTCGGCTGGCGACTGCCTGCTCGACTCAGCGATGCAAGCCACTTGGGGTGTCTTTGATCGCGATAACGCACTGAGACGGGCGCTGGCTGACAGTCTTCAGCAAGCTGGTACACTGTAAGTACTCGATGATCGAATGCATTTAAAAAATTCATTTTTATTCATTGCCTCTTTCTATGAACAGTTTTTATCCTCGTTGGAGAGAGTATGAAGCATCGCAGGCTTCCTTACTATTAGATTTTACTCTCGAAGAGACCCAATGGCAGGATGATTGGGAGAACCTATTATCCACTGCTGCTCAACCAGGGAGTGCGCTTGAGCAGTTGCACGTTTTCGTTCTGGCTCACATACTGCGACGACCAATCATCGTTTACGGCGTCAAATACGTAAAGAGTTTTCGCGGCGAAGATATCGGTAAGCCTGGTTTTTTTTTTTTTTTTTTTGAAGTAAAAATCAAACTTTGACATCATGAAACAATTCGTAGGTTACGCAAGATTCGAAGGCGTTTACCTGCCACTTTTTTGGGACTCAACGTTTTGCCATCGTTCGCCCATAGCCTTGGGTTACACCCGTGGCCATTTCTCAGCCCTCGTGCCCATCGAGCCGTACTCGTCTCGCATTCCGGCGCTTGCGAGTAACGTTACTGGAAGCAACAGTCCAGTGACGCAGCTTCAAACGACCTTTATGCCTCTGATGGATCGTGAGCGCAAGCTCCTGCCCATACATTTTCTCATTCAATCCGAGCTAGGTCGCGAGGAGGCTATTTTGAAGCAGTGGATGGACGTGTGCACGACCGAAGGCGGTATTCTCGTTGCTCAGCAAAAATTGCACAAAAGACCATTGCTGGTTGGTCAGATGGTCGAGGAATGGCTGAACCATTATCGAAGACTTGCGTGAGTAAAGTGATGAATCGATAATAATATTACGATGTCACATAATGCTTGGATGTAATGCTTTTTTGTTCTCTTGTCTTGTTCTCTAGAAGAAGCAAGCTATTCTCTTCTTTTTAATGCATTCTTATACTTACCTATTATATTTATGCGTTATTATTGTTTTATTCTGTAGACAAATGAATGAGGCACCTTTTTCGAGGACCTTGACTTTGCAGGACTACAGTAGTGATGGCGATACCGAAGACGAGTAGCATTATTTTCCAAAGTGCAGCAAAACTAAAACAAAAAATTAGCAATCATTGAAAGCTTGTAAAGATTTCCCACAAATGAATGTATATCTATATATTTCTACGATGTGAAGAACTATTTAATGTCTGTGGATGAGTAATTTAAGATTTGAGTGATTAGGATGTATTATATTATTACCTCAGTCGCGGAAAGTAGAGAAATCGAACAATTGGCATAGTTCCTGTATAAATTGCCAAATATAAAAGCGCGTCTGAGGTTTGTTGCAATGACAAAAAATGAATATGTAAGTAAGAGAAAGTTCAAGTCTAACTTCTAGACTAAAGTTTAAAATAACTACACAAGTATTTTCATTGTTGCTTTTTCTTTTTTTTCAATCATGAATTAACATGTATCTAAGCGTATACTACAAATATGTATGTACTTTTGAGATATCGCCAAAATTTTAAATGTAAATTACGGTTTAAAACAAGGAATGTCTTTTTTGATACATTGAAAAAATGTTATTCGACCTTAGCAGATACACATCTATAACTGCAAAGTTGTTAATATTGCAAAGAGAAACGAATATATATATTTTTACAGTTCACACAGGTAGGTATTTGCGAGCCTTTATGTACCAAAATGATTTTCCTCAACAATAATTACTATGTACCTTTAAAGAATCATGTTTGCTTACGATTCTGTAACCATTTTTTTTCAAAAAGACTCAAACGTAATCATAATAGTTATGACACTACATAAAGGAAAAATCGAACGTAATTTTTAAAGTATAAGATTATAATTTTCTCGAAAATCGATTTTAAATAACGAATTTCCAAAAGATTTGTTGTGTATATTATATATATCTAAGGGATAGTAATAATTATTTAGACAAAACCCTGCGCGATTTTATCGTAACAGGCACAGGAGAATACGTAATTCTTGTGAGTGAATGAAAAACGATGAAAATAGTATATTGAAATGTATATCTTCATTTATGCTTTATATAGTATAGACGAATTTCAAATTAAACAAATAATAGTCTTATGTAAAGTGATAAATAATTATTAGATAAAAGGTTGGGGATAATAGAAATAGTAATTCACTTGTAAAAATACACGGGTGCTGTTATGGATTACATTGTAAAAGAAACATTAGAGAAAAAACGATCGAAGTATTGTAGAGCGTGATAGGTTATATTCTCGTATAATATCGTACGCCAAACGAGAATTTTATTGCATGTACATTAATACTTGAAAATGCACGACTCGCATCGTTGAAAAAAAACTTAAAGTCTGTGACTAATGTAAAATCAAAGAGACATTTACCGTTGTTGAATCGATATTACTAAATTTCAGCTTAGTATGTAATTTATATATAGTGGCTTGGAAAGTGATTGCCGATGTCGTGGATAAATTTTTATCGTAGTACAATTACAATAATACTTCAACATCACATAATAGAGTTTTTAGCGCTATTGCTTTTTTCAGTTCAATTATCGTAACGAAGTAATATATTGTTAATTTACATACTATTTTGACCGGGATAAATGCCAAATTTTATTTTAAGAATAAATGTGATTAGTATCGATTTATCCTACTGACAATTTTTTTTACGTCCATTCGTTTGATCTTTAAATGCTTTCTATTATTTCTCTTTGAATTGATTTTTCAAACAAACTCTTCTTGTTAAAATAATATCAAAAGCGTATAACAACGATGTAAATACGGTAATTAAAAAAATAAAAGATAATTGCGTCAGAAATTTTCCGTCTTCATCATCTTAAATGTAAAGTAAAATTATATATATATACACGAAAAAGTATAAAATACCATTGAAAACAATGTTCTCGGATGATAAATAAATTAAAATTCTGCAATGCGCGTTTCTGGCAAAATATAAAGAAAAACTCAATCAAAAGAGTACAAAATACTGAATGAAAATCAATGAATGAATGGTGTTCAAATCCTACTATGTATTTAAAATAAGTTGAGTCACGACGTTGAATGTTTTAAGAAAAAAATCTAATCTAACGAGTTATTTTTGAGTCCTTTTTTGCTAGAAAAATTCAAGGTTGTGCCTCAACATAAATTAAAAATCAAGTTTATAATAGCCCTCTAGTCTTTTTAATACTATATAGTTGTTGAATTTTTTTCTATTACACAAGATTGTGATGATATTGTGTTATATTAAAAATAGCGAGTGTGAGAGAAAATAAAAAATACAATAAATATATTCAAATATATAAAATTAAATATTACTATGCAAAAAATAAAACAAATTCACATAAAAGTAAAAAAATGAATAAAAATATGATTCAATTTTTGTTTCTTTAATTATTATTGATTGCCGGCCAAATAAATTCTCCTTTACTATGAAAAACTACAAATTTCTCGTTTTAATTGACGTTGAAAATAAGTTTTTATACCAAGCATATTATTATGTTTATTCAATTGGGTTGTAATTAATTTTTTTGTTTTAAAGATGATTATAACAAACGTAAACTAAAGTATATATTATATGATAATTATAAAAAGATTATATAGATAAAATTATATAATGATAGAGCTAAATAAAAATCGATGTAACATATTTCTGATGGACAATTGAATGATTTATAATACACGATAATATCAGTAATAACTATTACATAACGCAAAATGTTGTATACTTGACTGCGGGCGTAATGCTCTCCGCATGTGAATAACAAGTGATATATAAAAACGAGAGAAGTTGAGGTAAAATAACTTAAAATATTGAACGTCAAAGTTAGAAATTGATATTACGAGAATAAATTATATATATTAAATTGTTGAAATTCATAAAAAAAAATAAATCAATAGCAGCCAATGAGTTCTTCGGAAAAATAAACAATGTAACATGTATAAATATATATTACACAATAGAGCATGTGTGCGAGCGCGGCAAATGAATGAATAAACATGATATATACTTGACGAAAATTGAATAATGTAATATAAGAGACCCTTTTTCTTTCTGTAAAGTTGATAATAAAGACAAACTGGCGTTTCTGATTGTATTAATTGATAACAAAAAACAAAAACAAAATACCTTTGTAAGTTACTAAAATATCTATTAATTATTCTTATTTTTTCGTTGGGTTGCTACTTGATTTTGGCACTAACTAATATGACGATGATGGAAATAAAGTCATTCTTTTTCGAAATTCTTGATGTACTGCAATTATTTCAAAAACAAATTTTCACTTTAATTTAATTCAAGTCTAATTTTTCTCCTTTTTACTATTGAGAACAAAACTCGATATACCCAAATGGAACAATTTTAAAAATTTGCAAGTTTCGCGCGTGCCCTTCGGCAGCGTCACGTGATCACTGAGTGCCTGCAAGTTCTGCGAAAGCAAAAGCACCCGTGCAGGAACGAATACGCTCCTTGTGAATAACGAGAGCCGCAAGCGCAATCGCTCAAGCTCTAATCAGTTATATAGTGCTTTTAAGTTTGTTTCTCTTCCCGGATGTACTGCCTATCAAACTTACTTACCTCCGTCGACATTGTGTTCTTTTTTAGTTGAAAATTCAAACGGTCGTTGAATCACAACGTTCCATGGGCTACTCGAATCTTTCGTGAAAATTTAACAGTAAACCGTTGTGGCGGGTTAGGCGTGTGCGCGCTTGATTAGCGAGCGCCACAGGATGTCTACCCGATCGATGCCGGCTGTCCATTGTTGCTACTGTCGCTGATTCGCAAAAAAACGGTTGAATGCTGCTTTCGTTTCCGTTGGACACAGAATTCCAAGAGAAGAGATGAATTTGAATCATCGAAGAAAGCAGACTAACGTACGTTTAATATTTTCAACACCTCAATAATTCGAATCATTAATTTCTATTTGATTTGTTTTACTACAGTTAAAGTCTGATTACTGTTCTTCCTGCAATTTGAGATATGGGCAATTAATTATTGTGAAGTATGAAAACAGTATTTTGTGCCAACAGTGGTGAAATAGATTGACCAGCAGCAACGAATAGTAAAGATGGTTCGTTTAAAACCAGTGAGAATCTTAATACTTCTTCTTCTTGTAGCCAAATGCATGTTTTGGTACAAAGTTATATTTTCAAGCGAATCATTAAAATTATCAAAAGGCAATAACAGTGTAACTGAAGTGCCCCAAAAACTTCATAGACGATTGGCTCATCTGGTTACAATTGTTATCAGACAGTTTGAAAGTTTTGAAAATGATATTACGAATACAGTCAAAACAATATTGAATTCGTATCCAACTATGAATATTATAATCGTATCAAATGACTTTTTGTATCCACCTTTGGAATTGGATTTTACAAATCATACTTTGAAGAATGTCAAACTTGTTTACTTACAACCCAGTTTCGGTCGAACTGTCAAAGAAAGAAATCCTGTCAGTTTTATAACTACAAAATATATTGCATTTCTGCCTGATGCTACTAGACTAATTACCAAGCAGACACTTCAGGTAACAAATAAAAGAATTAATTAATCAAGATATAGATATTTCAACACTTATTTTTTCTGTTTAGGAAGCTATTGAAAGTGCATCAAAATTAGGAATTGTTTCTGTGCCAGTGGGCAAAAATTCTTTGGGTTGTCTCAATGCAAAATTAAGGATAAAACAATGGAGTTTAAAAGTTTCAAAAGCAAGTGGAACAGAGTGCGATATAGTATCTGGAAAACATGTTACAATCATAGATGTAGATATTATTAATAAATTGACGGATCCTTTTATGCTGCCATGTCCAAATGCTTTATACATACAAACAACTGCATTGGGAATGAAGGTAAGATTTGAAGTAATAAAACAATTTCTGGAAACTTATTTTATTCACTTTTATTTGTTTTTTTATATTTTTATTTGACTTGATTTTGAATGTAATCTCCCAAGATTAATGCTAATGCTTGATTTTTTTGCTTTTGTGTTGTGTTTTTTTATATTTGTACCATAATGCACTGCTTTTTATTCACATCATTTGAAAAAAAGTAAGTACCTATATGTTTCATGTTTTTATTTGATATTAGTTCATTGTACTAGCATGTTTAATATAAAAAATGTTATCATCTTCAAAGTTTCACTTATTGCAGGTTCATATCTTGAAAAATCTGCATTTCTTGGAAAGTAAGCAATTGTATAGAAGCCAACAAGCTCAAACACAACTCCAAACACTTCATAGAACTCGTGAAGCAGAAGCACTTAAAAAACTTGGTATAAAGCAAGTAACACATGTTTCTGGTAATACAGAGTGGTATGGATGTACAAGAGATACACCAAATTGCTTTGGCCCTGTAGTAAATGACATTCCATCTTACTTATTACAAAATCGTTATACCCCTCCGTGTTGCCTTGCTGGGCTTAGAAAAGTAGCTCTACATGTTTTCAATAAACTTGATGAAGTTGGAGTGCGATATTGGCTAGAAGCAGAATCTTTGTTAGGAGCTATGCACAGTGGTGATATTCTTCCTTGGGATCATAAAGTTGTAATTGGTATCAATAAGGATGATCTAAACAGATCACCCTGGATAGTAAAGGCAAGAAGTAAGGCAGTTGTCGATAATAAAGGTTTTGTGTGGGAAAAAGCTACAGAAGGAGAATTTTTCAAGGTTCAGTATTCCAAAGTCAACAGATTACATGTAAATATATTGCCATTTTATTCCAAAAATGGCACTATGACACGGGATGCATGGTTTCTGAAAGTTCGGGATTTTTCAGAACACTTTTTACATCCAATGTCGAGTATTGATTTTATTGGAAGACAAGTGCCCAGTCCGAATAATATAAGAGATTTTTTGGAATTGAAATTTTATAGAGGTGTAATAGAAAACCCAGAGTTGTCTGTTAAAAGATTTTAAATGTTATTGTTTTGATTGATACTATTTCTTGTATACTAAGAATATATAAGTTGAGGGATGATTTTTCTAATGAATTTATTCTAAATTAATCGTTCTTATTCAAAATAAATCACTTCCATGCAAGAACGAATAGGTATATGTACATAGACAGTAGATAAAAAATTTATTCACTCGTTGAAATGTAAAAAATAATACTATACTCTCATAGTATTATTTTTATTCTTAATCAATGTTCAAAGTCATGGAATTTAATCTCAGAAAATCAGTATATTACAGTCATTAGATCATAAGGAATATGTTTAATCAAAAAAGTTTGATTCCTAGTTACAAAAATTGTGTTGAGAGAATCTTCAGGCTCGATAGCAATTGTACATGTATATTTTTTGAACCTGAATATCCATACTGAATTTTCTCCACCTTTATGGCCGTTAATTAAAGCCAAAAACTATGTATTGTGTTCTTAAAGAAGAAGAAACAGTTCCATGGCCAAATGTCCAAATCGTCCAAACACGTAGTTCATATTACTATTGAATTTGTTAAAAAATGTATTGTGATATTTTATTATGATTATTGTATGATTGGTATTATAATCCTACACACGTTAAACTGTGATTTGGATTTGTTTTTGTACGAATCGTAAACGATATTTTAAAACTTGGGAAGTTACTCTAAACTGACGTTTTATACATTAAGGATTTCTCTTGACGCACACGCGATCTCTCATTGTCCACTATGTTTTTTCCAGAGAATCCAGTGCCAATAAGAAGAAAGCACCCATTCCGTATTTACAATTATTAAAAACAACCTATTAATGTTAAAGTTTTACACTCGGTATCGATTATGTAGGCTTAAGGAATTCCTTCATGTCGGTCGGCGGCTCGAGAACGGCCGGCTCGCGCACAAAGCTCAGCAGCTTCTCGAGCTTGGCCAGCTCGAGCTCGTCGTGGCTCATGTTCTGCTGCTTCTTGGTCGGCTTGACCTTCTGCCGGAGATTCGGCGACAATTTCATCGTGTTGATCGTACCTCTGGAATTGATGACAAAACAATGTTCAAAATAATTAAGAGATATAAAGAGAAAATGACGAATAAAGCACACTTAAAAGTACACCAAAGCAATAATAAAAATATAAAGTGTCTCTGTTTATTGATTTGCATGCGCCTCTCACTTGTCGTCTCCCACGATGATAAAGGGCAGAGTGTGATTGAAGGCCAGCCTGGTGGGTTTGCGCCTCTTGCGATCTACCACGGCTTGGCTGCAGATCGGTCTGTACTTGTGGATGTTGAGGTCGAACACGCTGACCTTGCCGTCGTTCGACACGCAGGCGAGCACCGTCGCGCTGTAGGGCGCCCACTGGACGTCGCCGATCGGCACGCCGAGATCGAACATGAAGAGCGGCTCTCTGCCCACAATTGGTCGCACACAATCAGTGATCCCTCGAAGACGGAAAAAATTCCGTTCAAATTCCACGTTGTGGTACTCACGGTCGGCCGTCCTCCCAAATCTTGATGCGCCAATCGGCGGCGCACGAGGCGAATATGTCGGAATTGAACTTGTTGAAGGCGATCCTGTAGATGGGCATGTCGTGGGCGTCCTCGTACGTGCTCATGTAGCAGCTGCTGTAGGCCGTGTTGCACTTGTAGATGGTGCCCTCCTCCGTGCCGACGAGATAGACGCTCGGGTCCTGCGGGTGGAAGGCGATGCAGGTGCCGCAGCCCTTGAGCAACATCTGTGTGCCGTCGGGCCCGGGTATCGGTGGCCTGTCGAGCAGCAGCGTCATCACAGTGGTGCAGCCCAGGTCGTTCTGATTCAACACCCAGTGATTGACGCGGCCGTCCGTGCTCACGCTGAAGAACGTGAGATTGCCTTCCTCGGTCTCGGGCGCCCAGCAGACCTGCCAGACGATGCCCGCGTGCTTCTGGGTGACGTCGTTGCTCTTGTACTGGGGCGCGCTAGAGGCCAGCTGCACGTTGTAGACCTCCACCGAGCCGTCGAGGGTGCCGAGCACTATGAGGTGCGGATGCTGCGGATTGAAGTCCACGCACATCACCGGCGACTCGGTCATGCATATCCACTCGGGGTAGGACGGATTTTTCAGGGTGAACAGGCAGACCGCGCCGTAGGGCATCGGATTGTTGAACGACACTGTGGACGAGAGAGAAAAGAGGCATCGAATCAGTCGTCGTCGTCGTCGAGCGTGCAACATCGATCGCGCCAGCTGCCCCACTAACTCGATCCAAAGGCCACGGCGAAGAGGTCGTAGTATCTGCCGTTGAAGCACATGTCCGTGACGTCGTGCTTCTTGGTCTTCTCGTAGCTGAGCTTCCAGAGGGGCAGCAGCGTGCCCTCGCCCTCCTTGAACTCGTCGCTCGGGTCGTCCCAGTAGCGATAGTCCTGGGTCAGGTCGTCGAAGATGTTCTGATTGACCATGCGCTCGAGGGTCTTGACGGCCTGGAGCATGCGCTGCGTCATTGCCGCGTTCTCCTCCTGGGCCTTCTTCTTGGGATCGTCGCGGCCGCGCTGCTGCGACGACTTCTTCTCCTTCTCCTTCTCCTGCTGCTGACGATTGTAGTCCGCCTGACGAATTCAAAGATGGCTTATTAGAAGGCGAAAGGCTTCCATCGGTTGTAATAATGCTCGATTATACGTAATTACGGTGTAATCGTCGTAAATCAAGCCCTGATAAACTTGGCCGGAACAGTTGGCAGTGGGTGGTGGCACGGTTTGTGTCGTCATGTCCTGGGTCGAAAACAAGTCGATGAATCAAATTTTGCATGTTTACAACTAGCGCGACTACTACTCACCCGTATGGGAATGTCGTAAGTGAGTGCGGCTCGCTCGCAATAATTGAACTGATTCGGGACTTTTTTCGGTTTCCCGGGTGTTCCCTCGCCTTCGTCTTCCTCGGGCTCGTCGGGTCCTTTTTCACAACGAGTGGTCATTTGATTTTTTTTCAAACTACTCGCGCGCGTTCGCGATTAATTTAGCGCGGGCCTTACCTGCTTCTCCTTCTTCTCTGTCATCCTCAAAACCCTCGTCGAATTTTTCTTTGTCCTCTTCACCCTCGTCTTCCTCGCCTTCGCCCTCGCCACTGATGTCGTCGTCGTCCGAAACTTATGAAAAATGAAAAACACAAAAATACATGTACAAAATTTCGTTTCGAGCTTTTAACACAGTAAAAGCTTACTTCTGTAAGCGCCACCGGACAATTGGATTTTGGCCTCCTCGCTGTCTTTGTGCAGCACGAGTTCCTGGACGTCGAGGGTCGTTACCAGGTCAGGTGGATCGGGCAGCTTGACGAACTCTCTCGCCGCGTAGGACCATTGAACTATGTAGCTCGGCTCGTAGTGATTCTTCATCGTCAGCGCTCGAGCAATGTCCTCGTCCAATTCCTGCAATTACATCGGCCCATCCTCTCGATTAGTGCAATACATCTCGAGTGCACAGTAAAGGGCAGGTAGGCACGATGACAATTCACGTACCTCCTCGTTAAGATTCAACTGATCGTCGGGCTTCAGGAGCCCTTTGGCCAGGCCACGGTCCATGCCCATCTCGCTCCCGTAACGTGACACACTCCTGGTCAGGGTGATCTGCAATTCACATATTTTTTTGGCAGATTATTATCCGAATTTCAAAGCTCTACTGTGATGATTAAAAGCCACTTACCACAGATTTGGTGGGTTTTTTTACTAAAGACTGCGGCATCGTGATGGATTTTTATCTAGTCCTTTTCTTTCCTCCGATATATCAACGAGAAATTGACGACTTTATCGCGCGACGAGTGTCAATCGTAACTATTACTCGACAGGATTCATCCAAAGTTACGTTAAACTTTTCTGCTTCTCGCAACGCAGCCAATCTCGGGATAAATATACAAAAGGTTATGGATGCGTGTTTGCAATGGTCTTTTGTTTTCATCCAATTATTGCGCAAAATTATCTTTGCGTAATTGAAAGAGCACACGAGCGGTTTTCATCGGGTCGGCATCGATCAAACACGCGCCACACGCTCGCGCCCGCCGCCGCCAACAACGTAATTTTCAAAAAGCTCCTCCTGTATGTGTGCCCTTATATACTCAGTATACCGTATAAAGGGATTTGCGCCGTGTGTGCGCACAGCCAAGCCGGCGCAGGCTCGAGACACATGCGCGCAGGGGGACTGACTCGCGCGACAGTGATATCAAGCTCGCGATCGTCGAGGTTATTGCCTGCCGCTTGGCTGGCGTGTCTTCTTATTGATAAAGTACGCACGTAAAATATACGTAGAGTCCCGATTTCTCGTACGGGGGTTAAATATTTTGGATTCATGTGTCGTTTTAAACTGCTGCAGCTCCGGATGCTGATGTCTCGATCGACCTGCGGATGAAGCTCGCCAAGTGCAGAGACTCGGCAACACAACGCGACAGAGGTAAGTAAGTGGTCACACATCGGCGATTTTTCGATCGTGTGACATTTAACTCGTCTCTTTCAACTAGAAAAATAATCGATTTTAGCGATAGAAGTGACTGTACTCGAATATTTTTCCTTGGCTATGCAAAAGAAGTCGCGTGCATGTGTGTACATGATGTTATGCAGCTGTGCGGAACAAGTGCGAGTACACTCGCTCTCGCACACGCTCCCTCGTTCGGTTCGCGTGGAAAAATCAATAAAGTCGTTCTCGTGGCGGAGCAGCCGCTCGCGTGCATTATTCAACGAGGCTCGTTGCGGCAGCGCGATGTACTCTGTACGAGCGAAAAACTATCAAGGATCCCCCGTTTGACTTTTCAGACTGATGGATAATCATCGATAACGATATCTAGCATAAAGAGAGAGGGGGAGATTGCGAGCGAGAGAGAGAGACAGAGCGAGAGGAGGGGCGGATTTGAGAACTGCTTCGGTGAAATGGAGGATAGCGGCATCGACAGCGACCCCAAGATTACGGCCCACATGGACGATGATAACGCTTACGCGGCGGGCGATAGCAGCAGTATCAGCAGTGATGACGATCATCCACATCATCACCACGCGGCGGCGCTCCGACCCGTGGGTCCGTTACAGCAAAAGTTCACCACTAAGCAGCTGCAGAGAAAACTTGGTATTGCAGCAGTAGTACTCGCAGAGAGCTGTAATTGTGTTTTACTCATAAATACGAATTTTCTTTGCAGAGGCGAGGATCGAGCAAGCCAAGAGGATACAGCGCAATTCCAAGTACACGAAGCTGCCGGATCAAGAGCCCATGGACGCGCATCAAAGCTCGAGCCAAGCCGAGCCGAGCGGCTCGCAGCTCATACCGATCAAAAAACTGCCGATACCGATGAAGAAGAAGAAGCACAATGCCCTGGTCGAGATCTGGCACTCGGACAGCGATAGGTGAGACGTGCGAAAAATTTTATTATTTTTTTTTTTTTGCTTGCAAATGCCTTGAGCAAATAATCTTCTGTTGAAGCGAGGACGAATTATTCCCGATGACGAAGAAAAAGGCCAGGCCCAAAGCCGAGAAGAAGCTGATACAGCCACAACAGCAGCAGCAGCAGCAGCAACAGCAGCAGCAGCACAGCATGATCGACGCTTTCAGCATCGAAGAGATGAGTGAGGACGACGGAAGCGAGGATTCGCTGCATCTGGGCTCCGACTCGGAGCTGCACCACAGGCGCGACGGCTACTTCGGTGACTGCTTGGCCTGCAACTGCCGTGTCATGTAAAAGCTCCTTTTTTTCTCCCGCCAAAGATTCTTCTACACTGAAATAATACAGAGTCGCCAATCGTGAAAAAAAGGAGTAAAATAAAAAGCACCTGTACATAGTTTCTTATTTTGTAAAAGCACAAATGTTAGCGCAAACTAAAATTTATATGTCGTTTATCCGTATAAAAAGTGTAATGTATATTTTTGTGCTTATACGAATGCGCGTATCCAGCCGACATTCGGAAAGCGTTTGATGTTTTGTATATTACAAAGAAAATAGAAAGATAAACACGAAAGGAGAAAAAAAATACCATTTGCACTCTTGATTTATGCTTATTACTAGCAATGTCGAACATTTTTATCTGCTATCGATCGCGAGGGTATCGTCGCCCGCAGCTTCAATTCCATCCTGAGCTATATCGAATTTCCTAATTTAAATAGTGCCATTGTAGCTCTTCTAGAGATTAAAAACTGTTTTTTTCCTTCCAGTTACTTTTTTCTCCCCCTCAACTTATACGTTATGTCTATAGCTGAGCCATTTTTTTTTTTATACAAAAAAAAAACGAATGTCGCTCGCGTGCACGTACACTGCAGTTCGGATCTAAAAATATCCAGCGCGCGAGGGCACACATATTACCCCCGAGAGCCAAAGTCCGCCGCGCGCGCAGGAACTATATAAGTCGAAAAAGGAAACGGGAAGCAGCCGAATGGCATCATCCCTTTTCTCGCCGGACAGGCTCAACGGCCTGTTTTCGATTTTACGCTGCGTGATTCTTCGCCCTCGTGTGTGCAGAAGAGAGCACGCGGAGGGTCACAAAGGAGTTGGAGGAGGAGGAGGAGGAGGCGGACGATCGTAGCGCGGGGGAGGGGCCAAAACCTTATTGACGCTGTGTGTTTCGCGATTTATCTGCGCGTTTAACGCGACGAGCGCAAAAAAGTTAGCTCCGAAAGTTTTGGGATATAAACGCTTGGGTTGGTACGAGCGCAATACGTCGCGCACCGTGGCTCCCTCGTATCGCATTTATTTTGTTTACCACAATCGAGAAAAATGTGCTTAGCGTAAAACGAAAACCGGAAATACACGTCGCGCGCATTTTTTCACGTTATATCGTGAAATTCGATTTTTATTTTTACGTTCAAGAAACGCGGTTCATTTAACGCGGTAAGCAAATTACTTTCAGCGTAGTAAGAGGACTGAGGGCCAAGAAAAGCAACAACAAAAAAAGTAACTCGCATTAGCGGGGCTCTCAAAATTCAAACCAACCCAAAGCGCGCACACACAGCACGTACGATAATGTACGAGCTACGATCTTGGTATATAATGTCCTGCGAGAGAGGACTTAGGCTTCTTAATCCTTCGTTGGCCCATAGTTCTCAGGAGACGCGCGCGCAGAGCGCGAAGAACTTTCTTCTCTGAAACAGCTAAAGCTCCTCGTCTCTCGACTGCCGCTAAGATACTGCAGAAATTCTCTGTCTCTCTCTCACTCTTCATCCCTTATCCATCTCAACAGCAGCTATTTTCATTCCACAAAGGAAAAAATGATTGCGAAAAATGGTATTTTTAGCTATATATAGCAGTAGCTGCAGCAGTAATCCAATGACGCGTCGTTGTTTTGCTTTTTCTTCTTCGCGAGAAACAATAAGTGATCTATGTATACTCGAGAGCAGCAGTCCTTTCTTTCTGTTGCACTCTCTCGCTCTCTCTCCTCTACACACATATATTTTGTAATCCATTGTACGTGTAAATTCGCAGACGAGTCTTGGCTAAAAAAAGCTAAATAAAAAAAGAAAAAAAAGTGTCTTCTTTTTTTCTTATTCTCCTTTTTACCTACATATCGTTGACAAAGGTACACTGGTAAAAAATATACGTATACGTATGTACTCGAAGAGGCATCGACGGAGAAGGAGCTGATGCAAGCTCAAAGTACATATATACCGCTATCGTACTATAGTGTTACAGAACAAGCCTCGAGTCTTGAAAATCCAGCAACTACGCTCTATGTGTGGGTGTACGTGTGTATGTGTCTCTCGATGTACACACATATATATGTGTGTGTGTATCCTCTCTCAGGGTCGTGTGTACATCCATTGAAACTTCTTCTCACCCCCTACATCATCATCGTCGTTGTGCTTGCAAGCTCTCTCTCTCTCTCTCTCTTTCTCGCTCTCTCGCTCTAGCTCTATCTCCCACTACTTGCACATGCACCAACACACACCGAAACACTCACACACACACACACACACACATATGTACGAGTAAGCGAGCGAGCGAGCGAGCGACCCCCCATCAAAAAAGGAGGAGGCGGCGCGCGCTGCCACTGCTGCTTCGAGAGTACAGTAGCAGCCTGCGCGCAAGAGTCCAGGCCTCCTCTCTCTCTCACACTCTCTGGTTTTCTCGTCTTTCTCCCTTTCTACGATTTCGACACACAGTCAGTGCGAGGCCGGCTGCCAGCCGCCAAGCTTCTTCTTATATACCCCCACACATACAAAACGCTCGCTTAAACACTCGCTATTTATACATTAAAAAAAAAGACCCCCTTCATTTTTCGCGGGCGTCCTTTAAAGTTGTATTATTATTTTTCCTCTATTACTCGCAGTCCGTCTATTTTTACCCGCGTGTGTATAATTTTGTTACGCGTGTGTACTTTATAAGCTGGATGATGCACATTTTTAACAATATACAATTTAGCAGAAAATTTGTTACTATAATTTAGTCAGCTTCGTTCGTTGAAACTTTTGTTTTCGTTTTCTTCTCCTCTCTCTCTCTCTCTCTCTCTCTCTTTCTCTCTATCTTCTTTTTTTTCGTACAATTTTCACTCTCGACAGTGCTTGATGAAAATAACGATGCTATTATCGTCGCGAGTGATAACGAAGAGTCATCGATTATCTTTGCGATCAGTAGTGCTACGTAGTAGAAGCAGTAGCAGCAGTATTAGGCCGCAGCAGCGGAGTAACGAAAGTGCGATTTTATCAGTCAGTTATTCGGCTGACGACGCCTGCTATCATCATCATCAGCATCCAGGGCTAAGGCCACGAGCTGTGCCGAAAGCCCAGGACGAGCGACGATGCTGATCGAAGGTATTATAAATATAGCACGTTTTCATATATGAATGTAGATGTATAGATATTCGGCACACGACACTCGAGACTACTCTTGTTTTCATTGCTCGATTCACTGAAAATCCAACGGCGACGCCAACCTCGTGCGTCGAGATTGTGCGTGTACGTCGTCGTGCGTGTTCTACGACGGACCGATTTTTACTGACTAACCGATTTCCACATCGCGACAGCTCGTATTTTTTTTTTATTATTACATAATGAGCACGCGATGCCGTTCTTTTCTTTCCTCTGGCATTCGTTGTAACTTCGTAACGTATACATCACCCTATTTTCATCGTTGCAATATTATCGATCGATACGTCCGGGACGTTTAACTTATATGCCCGTGTTTTTTTGCCTCGCATCTTTGGCTAGCTATGTGCACGCGCTCTGGTATGCATATAACGTTTCATCGACGAATTCATTATGATCGCGTACATATTTACCATCAGGGTCTGCCAGAGCTTGTTAGTTGCCTTACATTACGTAATTTTTCATTCAATTCAATTCATGCCCCTCGGCCCAACGCGGGCTGCCTGGCTAAACGCGACGATTTTTCGCGAAAACTTTGCAAATGCGTCGCGAAAAGCTCTCCTACAGTCTCGCAACGCGCGCGGCGTGACGCGCTTTAAGCCGTTATATAAGCGTCTATTATGACACATGCGGGTTCACAGCTGCACGGACTGCACGTTTATAATGCATTATTATAGCGGGCCAGCACATAGGGTATGATATATAACATACGAAAAAGAGGAGAAGGAGGAGGAGGAGGTGGAGATTTTTAAATTTAAATCTCGAGTGCGCTTAACGTCGGATTGCAGCTAGCATGCGCGCGATCCGTTGAAAATAATAATAAAAATCTCTAAAGTGTAAGCGCCGCTAGAGAAAGGGCGAGTTTAGCTAGTGGCTATATGATTCATCACTCGCGGGAAAGGAGAACCTAAAGAGTAATAAGCGTTGCGTCAAAAATGATGATAAAAAAAAGTAGAGAAGGGCATCGCACAAACGCGAAGCAAATTTTTCCTCGCGGAGAAAATGCACCAGCCACTGCTGCTATATCCGCAGCTTTAAACCGTGCAAAGATTGGCCCGTGTATACTGCTACTTTGCTGCTGCTGCTGTGCAGCGTCACCCGAGCGCCGCCACCGCGCGCCGTACTGCTCTACTCGACGCGACAGTGTGATTGATCGAGTTAAGAATTTATCCGTAAGAACTTGACCGTACAGAAGCTAGACGAGACGAGACACTCTCCAGAGACTTGCCGAGTAGTAGCTGAGGCGAAAGTAGCCACGAGGAAGCTTTAAACGCGTTATGGGATCGTTTTACCCAGGAGCAGAAGCGTTTGCGCGACTTTGCCTCTCTCGCTCTCTCTCTCTCTCCGCGCCCGTGTGCCTGTATATCGATCAACTTTACTGCTGCTGCTGCTGGTGTGCACTCGAAAACAAGTATATTTTTTTTTTCTCTGCCGCTGTTCTCTACTCGACCATTAACAGATTTAACAAAAAAATATTTCCGTATTTTTCTGAACGGAAGAGAGAAACAGATACGGTTTCGTATCAATTGTTGTTTTTTTACCCTACATAGCTGCTCTTTTTTTCTTCCGTTACTTTGGGGTTGCACACGCGCGGGGCGAGATTTTCAAACGTATGTCATTGGCGTAGTATAAACACGCACGTGTGCTTTTATTTTCGTCTCGTGCGTAAGAGCTAAAGCTCTTATCAATTAGCCATCGAATGCGTAAATCTCGCGCGAAGGAGAAAAAGAGTTACTCTTAATGAAAAGTGCGAAAACAAGTCTATGTAACGCGATATCGCGAGAATGAATTTTGAATCCTGTTACAAATGTGAAAAGTAGCCTACCGATCGATTCACTCTAAATAATTCAATCGGAATTCGAAATAAAGTCCATTATACGCTCGTATAATAAGTACAGCAGAAAAAAAAGAAGGAGAGAGAGAGCGAGACAGAAGAGAAAAAAAGCTCGTTCTGCTCGTCGCTGTTATATAGCTGCCGGTCGGAGGAACATCGTTT